CAACCAAACTTTTCTTTATATGTGTGGCTTTGATATATCCACTCATCTTCTACAAGTGCAGTAGATCTTTCACTTGAACTCAGAACTTCACCTTTATATTACATTTTATCTTGTCAGATTAGGTCCATTATTCTAACCCACACTGATAGAATCTTTTCTTCAATTTTCCCTCATAATTTGAAGTCACCTGAAACTTAGGCCAGTTTCTTCTTAAGTTTTACTCTAAAATATTGATAAGAACTTCCTTAGAATAGGGTAAAGATGGACGTGTTTGGAACCAAGAATGATGGTCAAATAAGGAGGAAATATTCCTCTGGTCATCTGTCATGATATTATTTTAATGACAGCATACCTATTGTTTCTTCCTGGAGTGCTCTCCTCTTTTCTCCATTCATTAGACATCTCCTACCAACTTTCAAATCTCTGATTGTAGGCACCTCCTCTAAGCACTTGAGCCATTTGTACCCCTCCTATGGGTTTCCATGGTACACTGTGCCTCCTATGTTCAAGCTCTTATAAACTCTATAGTCTTTCAAACTCCAAGTAAGTATGATGGTGTCTGCCTTGCTCACCGTTGTATTTCCAAAACCAAGCACAGTTCCTGGGAGATAGCTAGGTTTCATAAATCTTTATCAAATGAATGGATGTTTTTATTTAAGTCAATAAATGATTTTATTCCTGACAGATATAACAGTCAAGAACAGAAGAAAGATGTTAACTCATTTCAGGGCTCCTATGATAAGATGTGGTGAGGGACATGATGGGTGGGCTTGGCATAGCTTGGGTTATTTGTAGGCTTCTAGATACTTCTAGGTTAGTCTTTCAGGTCAGGAAGCTTCATCTTTTGGAAGAATGAGTTTGACAGTCCCTGGTGATGGGGAAGCACATGGGTTTTTATGCATCACCCTCTCTTCCTAACTAGTTTTAAGCCACAGGCATGTGGATCTTCTGAGATGTCCAACCAGGCCAGAAATCAGGAGTATGCTATGGCCCAGGACCAAGTCTTATTCACCACCTGGTTTTTTCCTATATGTTGTGTGCACTGCCTTTCTTCTGATTACTACTATCTACCTATATATAAAGAACTGAGCTATTCCCTTATGCATGATAGTTCTATTTGGTTATTTATCCAGGATTATTCTAGTCTTTAGGACAAACTTTGAAATGTGGAATTCCTCCCTCTTAATATTTAAATAGTGCCTGGATAAAGGAGAGATATACTAAAACTAGGCCTATCTTCTCCCAGCAAAAAATCTGTAACATATATCATACAACCTCCCCTCTCTCAGCCATACACAAGAGCCACATCCTGGGTATTTTGGGTGGCAGTGGTTGGGGATTTAACTGAGAGAAAAGAAGACTCCCTGGTCTTGAGGTGCTCCTAGACTGAGAAGTGGAAAATTTGACTCTGGCATTGGGTAATTACATAAAAATTTTCACAAAAAGGCAGTTGTCAGCCTCATTTTTGTCACCATGTCCACCTTCTCTTTATGCTGTGGCCAGATATGTGCAAGTTTTAACTCTCCTTGTAGATATTGAGTAAGCTTATAGCCCTGGGTATCACTACATCAATGACTTTTACCTCAGCTGATCAGAATAATTTTCAAATGGAGGTCTCAGACTCTCTCTCTCTCTAGAAATTCAATTTAAATAGATCTGAGATAGATCTTGAGACTCTGTCTCTTTTTTTTTAATTTTTTTTATTTATTCATGATAGTCACAGAGAGAGCGAGAGAGACGCAGAGACATAGGTAGAGGGAGAAGCAGGCTCCATGCACCGAGAGCCCGACGTGGGATTCGATCCCGGGTCTTCAGGATCACGCCCTGGGCCAAAGGCAGGCGCTAAACCGCTGCGCCACCCAGGGATCCCGAGACTCTGTCTCTTTAAGTGGGTTCCCGGGTCATTCCACTATATATAAAGAACTGAGCCTAGCGACAAAGTGCAACTGTGGCTAATCCACCTGGTCTGGAAAGAAATTCTGAGAACATCTAGTGCAATTCCCTCATTCTACAGTGAAAATGCTAATCCCAGGGTGGGAGGCCTAAAAGAGGGAAAGGATAGAGAATTGCACATAGATATAAGCAAGATTTGGGGTGTGGGGGTGGCGGGGCATCCAACCTCTCTTACATTTACTCAGACTAACTAGTCCCTCATCTCTGGAACCTAGGTCCTCATCCTGGATGCCAAGCGTAGGAGTCTGGCTGACCTCTGCTTCATACTGTTTGTGATTTGCCTGATGCACTGGCATTTCTGGGCATAGTCTGGTCACCTAAAATGGAAACAACACCATGCAACCTGTGCACTGCCTTAGATGGTTAGTGTGATATTCAAAAAGGAGATTCTCTCACAGGTCTCTGAGCAAGTTTAAAAGGCTTTTATAAGTGGTTTTTTTTTTGCTCTGAAATTCCAATCCTCAGCCCTTTAAGCTTTGTTCAAATCATTGATAAAGAAGCAAAAGGCAGAGTTCTGGGAGGCAGATCATGTGTGAAGGAAGTGGAGAGTGGAAGGGGTGACTGGGTTACTCCTAGGCTTCTAGATACATCTAGAAGGGCTGTCCAAAGCCAAGGCTGAAGGGCCCTAGGAGATCTTAACCCATGCTCCTGGGGTGGCAGCCCCCTTGACACATACATTTTAGAAGCCCCAAGCTTTAAAGTATACAGAGAGATACAACAGACGCATAGACCCACACACTCCTGGCTACTCCTTTCCCCAGAGCTGCCATAGATGGGTTGTAACTTTTCACAGGTGGCCTACCTGGAGGCACAAGCTTGAGCATCCTGTCAGAGGAGGTGGGAGGACCCAATTCAAACTATTGCCCCGGGAGAGTGGAGCATTGGGCTCTGAGCTCCTCTGGTTACAGAGATGGCACTGAGGCTGGCTGGTGAAGAGCCCTGGTCTGTGACAGAGCACAGGCCCAGCCTGACTTACCCAGAGACCCCTATATTCTACTATCATCTAATCTCTTTCCATATCCAGGCCTAGTTATCCTGGGGACCAGAGTCTATCCTGAGACAACAGTGCAGGTCATGGGTCATTGAAACAAAGAGCCTGTGTGGTGACCTGTACACTCAACCTGAGGAAGGTGGGGCTTCCTAGGAGTGAATGCCCTTATCTTCCATTCAGGTCTGGGTTCTTCTGTGTCTTGAGGGAATGGACTGCTCCACATTCATCCTCCAGAAAAGAGGGTCCTTGTTCAGGGGTATGTTTGAAAGAACAGGGGGAGAGATCTAATGAGAATCCCCATCTGGGGATGCCTCTCCCCACCCCCACCCAGGGGTCTAGGTAATAGGAAAATAAGGGTGTCCCATGGGAGCTATTTGGACCCTGCCAAGCCCTTGAGGGCTTGTGCCACAGAGCAGATAGGGTCCTAGAAGAGCCTGGATTTGAAGAGAAGAGGCAAAAGTAAAACTGGTGAAAAAAACCTGTCCAAAAAAAATGTGTTGGAAGAAGAGGCAGAGATTATGACTGAGATAAAAGATGCCACATGTAGTAGCAAAGAGTGTAGGCTTGGAATTCAGTCTGGCTGTGTGGCTTTAGCCTGTGTGCTTCCTTCCAGCTCTGTCAAGTGGTGAGATAATAATGCTTGTGTCACTCCTAACTCTGGGAAACGAACTAGGGGTGATGGAAGGGGAGGAGGGTGGGGGTGGGGGGTGAATGGGTGACGGGCACTGAGGAGGGCACTTGACGGGATGAACACTGGGTGTTATTCTGTATGTTGGCAAATTGAACACCAATAAAAAATAAATTTATTATTAAAAAAAGAAAAAAAATAAATAATGCTTGTGTTGTGGGCTATTCTGAAAATAAGAGGACATATATTATATATATATTATATATATAATCATACACATACATATACATATACATATATTTATGTTCTACCTGTATAATGTATTTCACTAAACTAGTAACAACAAAACATTGGGCAGCAGAAATACCTGGAGGGCTGGTTAAAATCAGGCTTCACAGGCCTCACCGCCAGAATCTCTGCTTCAGTAGGTCTGATATGATGCACTTGTATTTGTCACAATGTCCTAGGTGGTTCTATGCTGCTGGTTCAAGTACCACCCTGAGAACCAGCGCTCTAGGCAGTAAGCTCTCTGAGAGCAAAGAGGAGTTATTTCTGTGCCTTTTACTAGTCCCTACTTGACAGATAAGCAATGAATATTTGTCAGTAAAAAAAATGAATGAATGTACTTCACATAAAGAAGTCCGGTTTTCCTTTGCCAGGTGTCTCTTAGGTCTCTACCTCTGACACTGCAAGGCCAGATCCCTGGGACAAGGGAAAGATGTCCTCAAAGCCAAAGATGTCCTCTGGATCTGTGGTGCTAACCTGTGGTGCTGGATCTGTGAGTCCAGGCCAGAGTCACTCCCTGCTGTCCTCTTAAGAGACCCTCTTTGTCCTCTACAGACCCTGGTAGCCTCAGGCTACTGTCTCCCTTTGGGAATAGGTTCACCTCAAAAGCACTCATTCCATAGCACCCATCTCAAAGATAGGGAGTGGGAGAAGAAGACCCTTTAAACTGTATCTTCATACTACCAAGACCACTCACACCCAGTGGGATTCAAAAGCAATGGAGGAACATAGGGGCAGCCTTTTCTATGATGAAAAAAAAAAAGGCGCAAATAGTTTATTCTGAGCAAAAGAAGAGTGTACCCTGTGTGGAATATCACAGAGAGCTTCCAGTTCTCCTCAGGCTCCCCTCCCACTCCCAACACTCACAGCTGGATGACCTGCCCAGCCCAGACCTGAGACCTCTACCCTCTACCCCCAGACTGAGGAGCAAGAGTTCTTCTTGTTCTCTCATTCCTCCTGCCTTTTCATCCAGCTTCTCCTGCCAGACACCAGGGACACCAAGAGGAGACAGAAAACCCATAAGGTAATCCACTGGTCAAGCAAAACTCAGATCACGAGTACAATAAACTCAAGAAAAATAATAACAAAGAAGCTCATCCCAGAGAGTCAGGAAGGAGTAAAAAATCAGGCATTATGCAAGACTCAGACTATGAGAGTATCATCTTTATTGTTACATGACCTCCTTCTGTCCCAGATCCTGGGGTTGCCAGTCAGGATAGATCGTCGCTCAAGCTGCCAACCTGCAAGTCTTGCTGAGCAGCTGCTTGCCTCAGGAGAAGCACAGGGCTTTAGAGATATTCTCACTTCACTCAAATGGGAGCTTACAACCTAGTTGGGCAAGAAAAACAGACACACTGGAAAAGTGAAATAATTCAAGAGATATTGCAAGGCAGTTGCCAAATGGCTGGTATGAGCAATGCAAGTTTTAGGAACTTGGCATAGGTTCCCATGGGTAGGAACAAACAGAAAAGACCAAGGAAGAGGTCTTGAAAGATGGGCTGAATTTCAGAGGCTGGGCATAGCAGAGAATTGGTCCAGGCAAGGAGGGCAGGAAGTGAGCAGAGGCTTAGAGGCAAGGGACACCCAAGGTATATTCTGGACAACACCCAGATGTGCCCTGGTGGCCAGACTGGTTTGGCTGGAACTGAGGGTGTGTTCAGGGGAGGAGCCAGATGTAGGGCTGGAGAGGGGCCTGAGACCCAGGGGTGGATCCTGAGATGGCATGCAATGGAGTTTGGACATCACCTCTGTAGCGGGGAGCCTCCGGCTGTCTTTGGAAAGAAGCACACAAGAACATACTGGAAATTGAGGCTGCTGTGAAAGGAGGCAGAACATTTTCAGGGCAGGAGGCAAGGATGTCTCATCCTTAAAAATAAGCACCCTTTGTTCCAGCATCAGAACCGCCTTTCAGTCCAACACAGGGGCCGCCTTGGTCTCCACAATCACCAAAACCCTGTGGCTCTGGAACCCCATCACAAGGTCCAAAGTTGTCACCACTTCCTTGCCACTGGTTACAACCAGGTGGGCCACAGCTGGGGGCCTCGGTGTCCAGGAGGCATGGATTAGACTCATGACAGCCTAGGTCTCCGGGGCCTGGGTTCGGACGTGGTCCCGAGCACGGGCTGGGACAGCGCAGAGGCTCCGCACACGGCTCTGGGCTCGGGCAGGGTGCTGGAAGGGGACTTGGCTCTGGAGGTGAGTAGGGTTCTGGGCGCTCACAGGGCTGCGGACAGGGACGTGGCTCGGGAAATTCACGCTGCACTGGCCTAGGTCGTGGGGCTGCACGCGGGGCTGGACGTGGTTCCGGACACAGACAGGGTTCGGAAAGTCGCCGCGGTGGAGGGCATGAACGCGGCCCTGACCTGGCACATGGTTCTGGGCGCGGGTACCGCCGTGGAGCAGGACGTGGACAGGAACTTGGGGCAGGAAGTGGGCATCGCTGCAGCGATCTCTCCGGACTTCGGTCCAGACGCCGTGATGGACAGAAGCTTGGGAGTGGACGTGACTCTGCAGGTGGCCTCAGCTCCGGGCAGGAGGCTCCCCAGGAGGGTCGTGGGGCACAACTCTCAGAGCAGCGTCTGATGGGAGGAATCTGAACTGCACACTTTTGCGGGGGCACCTGCTTGGGGCAGCAGGGGGAGGAAATCTCTATCCGACACTTGGGACCACATCTCCTAGCGCAGCCTGAGGAAGCACCCCGCGGGCAGCCACTGCTATAGATGGGCTCAGAGCGGCGTGGTGGGGTGCAGTAGTTATAGGAGCCCGAAGAACATGCAGATGGCAGGCAGCTGCCGTAGAAGGGCTCCGACCTTCGTGGTGGGGAACAGCTGCGGTAGAGAGGCTGCAGCTGGCCAGGCGGGAGACACCTGCTGGTGCTCTGGGAGCGGCTGCGCTGAGAGGAGAAGCTCCCATAGGAGCCTCGGGCCTGGCACTGGGGTGCACAAGTGCTGAATGAAGCCCGGGACTGACGCTGGGGGGCGCAGTTGCTGTAGGCAGTCCTGGATTGGAACTGGGGGGTGCAATTGTTGTAGGAAGCTGGGGACTGACCCTGCAGGGCGTATCTGCCATAAGAACCTTGATACTGACGCTGGGTGGAGAATTTTCCCTGAGTTTGGGAAAGTGGGGGACAAGCCACATAAGTCTGGACAGGCTGAGGAGCTGGACAGGGTGCAAAGTTCTGGACTGGGTATTCCACAAAACAAGTTCCTGTATAGCAAACTGGAGCACATTCTACATAACACGTCTGAACAGGGCATGGACCTTCACACTGCACATAGGAAACCTCAGGCTGGCATAGGGCCTGGCTTTGAACAGAGGAAATTTGAGACTGGCATGGAGCCTGGCACTTCACCTGGGCGGTCTTAGATGGGCATGGAGCCTGGCACTTCACCTGGGCGGTCTTAGATGGGCATGGAGCCTGGCACTTCACCTGGGTGGTCGTAGACTGGCTCGAAGCCTGGCACTTCCCCTGGGAAACTTGAACTGGGCATGGTGCAGGACACTCTATAATTTGCATCTCACAAGGGGCTTGGACTACCACCTGGCTGTTGGCACTGGGCGACTGGGAGGAGTAGAAGGAGGAACCCTTCACACAGCACTGGGGAAGCGGCAGGCAACATTGAATCTGCTGCTGGTCACACATGGTTCTGATGAAGGCAGGTGAGTGAGACCTGACAGTAGAAAGATCAGTGTTAGGAGGATGAGTTGTTGGGGGAGAAGGATCTAGGACCAAGGGAAAGACACTGCTTCTTCCCTGTACTTTCCTCCCCAACTATCAACCTTTACCCAAGAACACTTACTGAGTTAGAGGGATCCATTATTAGTCACCACTGCCACTGAGACCTGTCCTGATCTAAGGGAGCTTCAAAGGCACAGCCACAGTTGTAGGCATCCAGAGTCTCCCCTTGGAGGGTGGGCACAGAGTGCAACTGCGCCCCCCAGCATCAATCCCGGGCTTCATTCAGCACAGAGTGTCTAACACAGAGTGTGTTGAAGACCTTAGGATTCCTTGTCCTAAGTGGCAGGAGAGCACTCTACAGGAGGTAGAGATAACACTGCTTCTGAGGCTGTAGCCCAAAGTGGGGTCTCCACACCCACAGGAGCTTGGATATCCTCACATACATGCACTGGTGACACATACAAGTGCAAACATGTAAAAACGAGCAGGTGGGAGTAAGTGTCCAGGTTCCATCTGTGCCCAAAGCACCCACTGAAAAGTAAAGGATCCAGTCCGTTATTGCACAGCTCAAACCCAATATAAATGTTTGTTTCTCCACATTCAATCTTTTTAGGTGAATTTCTTTAAACGACCCTCATAGACATATGCAAAACACACACAGACAAAACATGCCAGCCTTGGAAAGGCTCAGAACCAACATGGCAATCTGCCCAGGCAGGTTGCTGTTCTAAATTATCTGACATGGGACAACCTGCTACTTCAGAAATGTTTTCTCCTTAGCTCCTCGTAAAGGCAAGGAATGAGTGCCTAGATGGGGTAACCCAGAAAGTGCAAGATTCCTAAATCACAAGACTGACGTTCAGTCACACATAAAACCCTGCACAGCAGAAGCATACAAACTTGATTTGGGGGATACAAGCATACCCCAACATGACACTTATCCAGGGAGAAACAGAAGCAATCTCCATTCCTCTGCCCTCCCTAAATTCATCGGTTTGTATACAGGCAGCCCTGTGACTGGCATAGCAGGGTGGCTGATTTAACAATTAATTCATCCAACAAAACACTTCTCAATAGGCTCCAGAAATACTGAAAATGCTTCTAATGAAAAGCAAAGCCTTCCATTCTCCATTTATAGAGAATATCTACAAACACATGCCCTTAGGGAAAGTAACCCCCTGACACACAACTCTGCTCATAAGGTGTAAATGCATCTTTTCCAGGAAAAGAGATCCTGATGTGGGAAAATGCTACTTGAGGAGGAGACCACTATTATCAAAGGCAAATACACTGACTTCAGGCCCTCAGTTCTTCACACAAACTCCACAAATATTCTTATAATGTCTCCTAAAAGTCTACCAGACATTTCTCCTCAGGTTTATTTTTTTTAAAAATATTTTTAAATTTATTTATTATAGTCACACACACACACACAGAGAGAGAGAGGGGGGGGGGGCAGAGACACAGGCAGAGGGAGAAGCAGGCTCCATGCACCAGGAGCCCGATGTGGGATTCAATCCCGGGTCTCCAGGATCGCGCCCTGGGCCAAAGGCAGGCGCCGAACCGCTGCGCCACCCAGGGATCCCTCTCCTCAGGTTTATGTATCACTCTTCCTTCAAGCACTTCCTGGGAGGTGCTTGAAGCTCCCCCACCTCCCACCATGCCTTACCTTGTGAATCTGGGCATCCCCTGAGATGCATCTCTAGCCCAATCCCGGGACCCAACCCCTAGACTCACCCTCCTCACAGCAAGCAGACATTCAGGCTGAAGGATCTGGGCAGAGAGCTGTCTTTATATAAAGAGCTCTGGGTCTGGCTTACACCATGAGACAGCTTATTGGCATCTGCCTGGCTCATCACCCAGGTTAGCATTCCAGCAGCAGTCCCCTCCCTGTATGCCTGACCTTGCAGTCACCTACAGAATGTGGGAGTATCTCACTTCAGTGTCAAAGCTTCTCGACTCTGAAGGAGCAGATTCTTGTTTTCTTCCTCCTTCTTCCCCTATAAGTTTCTCCCCCATCCCTAGGAGACCTGGTGGTGGGGATGATAAGGGGTGGCAAAGCTATCTTTTGTGCTGAAAGATGATTCCAGGCCCCTGACTTCCTCCTTATCTCAGATTTTCATCAGATAAATATAAAAGAGGAAAAGTTCCCCAACTTGAAGCAATTAAAGTCACCTCAAAGATAGAGGCATCTCTACAGAACGAAGAGAACATGGTCAGAGCTGAAGTTAACATTCTAGGTTGGCTACTTACAGCTGAGTGACCTTTAAAACCAACAGGAGTATTAATTTACTCAACTGAAAATAAAGATAATTAAGTCTTCTTTCCAGAGTTGTTGTGAGGGCTAAGGCAATTATTTTATGCAAAAGAATCCAGCTAAGAATGATACTCAAAATATCCAACATCTACTTAGAATAAATGTTAACCATAAGCAACCAGGCACAGCATTTCCTCTTACTCCTAAGCTGAGCAACCGGTGCTTTATAGCCGGTGCTCAGCTAATGCTATGGTATAGGGTTTAAAGACAGCATAGTGTAGGACAGACACACTAACTTGGCATCCCAAGATACAGTCAGGATGAGACATCTTTTTATCTTTTGCCTACATAATTTTTGCTTATATAATTTAGTAAGTGATCATTAACAATTTAGAAATAGGGATCCCTGGGTGGCGCAGCGGTTTGGCGCCTGCCTTTGGCCCAGGGCGTGATCCTGGAGACCCCGGATCGAATCCCACGTCGGGCTCCCGGTGCATGGAGCCTGCTTCTCCCTCTGCCTATGTCACTGCCTCTCTCTCTCTCTCTGTGACTATCATAAATAAATAAAAAAAAAAATTAAAAAAAATTTAAAAAAAAAAAAAACAATTTAGAAATAGAGAAATTATACTTAAGATTCTAGACATCCAGCTTTTCTTCTAAATCAAAAGATATGGCAAAGGTGAGCCTAATTTCCATAAACCTGAAAATTAATAATTCCCCTCTTAGGGCATATACTTTTATGTTCTACATATACTTACATGCTCTACAATTCTCCATCATTCTATAATATATCTGTGATGCAATGCACAATATAAGTTTCTTTTTATTATTTTACTTAGGCTCTTGTTTTTCTTTGCTGAGATTAAAGGAAAGTGAAATAATCCTTCTACCTGGATCATTTCACTATTTTATATAACCTTCTAGCCTCTATAGGCATTTAAGATTCTGAGCAAGCTTGTCAGCACAGACTTTAGGCAAATTTGGGATTGAATCTGAGCTCCAGTACTTGCTAATGGGTGAAAGCTACTTAACGTCCATGAGCCTCAGATTATCTATCTATAAAATGGAAATAAGAAAAAGAAGAAAGAGGAAGAAGAAGAAATAAGAAGAGAAATAAAGAAGAGGAATAAGAACTAGAAAAGCCATAGAATTATCATGTGACTTAAATAAGACAGCTGATCTAAAATACTTAGCACTCAGTTACCCCTGTAGCTCTCTGAACTACTTAGTTTCCTCATATGAAGATGGGAATGAAAATACTTCACTAAGTTCTCATGAAGGAAAAATCAGATAATGGTACAAAAGTGCTTTGTGACCTGCAGTGCACATACCAGTCCCTGCCATGGGGAAGTCTCTGCCCAGGTTCACCTGACTTTAGAGTCCAAGTTCTGGGTTCCAACACTCATTCCAAAGGGGGTCTTCAGATACCATTCCAAACTTGAGTAGGATCATAGACTTTCAGAAGGTCAAAGTAACAAGAGTCCCCAGGAATTTATGGTCCCACTCCATCATTCTACAGATGAAGATTCTGAAGCCCCAAAAGATGAACCTCTCTGGGGACTAAAGCTAATGGTTGTCTTGGAGAGACAATTTGTTTCCAACAATATCTAGATAGATGGAGCTATATAAATATACATGGTTAGACATATAACCATAGAAACCTAGGAATAGGTGATAACAGGTGCAATGATTTGTAAAATTGATATAAAGATATCAAAAGAAACCTAGGTATATAAATATCTACAAAAATGATAAAAATAGAGATAGATATAATAAAATATAGAGCAAAAGATAGAGACGAGTTAGCAATTTAAAAAATTCAGAAGTATAAAGAATACAAGCTGGGAGTGAAATAGGTCATGTGAAAGAGACACAGAGGCATGAGGTAGCAGCAGATATGCATGCATTAATTTAAAAAGATGAAGGCAAAAAAATAAAGAATAAAAAGATGGAGGCAACTCAAAAAGTACACATAAATCTAGAGATAACTGACCAAGTACTTGCTATATAACCATCACTTGGCTAAGGATTTGATATGTATTAACTCCTTTCATCTTTAGAATAGCCCATAGGGTACAAACTATTATTATTTTTTATAGCTGGAAAAAATCAAAGTTCAAAGCAGTCATAATTTGTTGGTGATCATAAGCTTGGAAATGTCAGAACCAGGATTGAAAGCCAAGTTATCTAGAGGTAGAGACTCAGGAAGTAGATAAACAATGAGATGAAGTTACCTTGAGTTACAGATACAGAGAGATACTCTATGCTTTGTTGTACTATGAGACCCTTTTCAGGAGTTATGATCTTTTGGGGCCCAGGCTTGTTGAACCTTAACAGAATTCACTGGTGTGTTAGAATGCCTTGATCCCAAGAGCTAAAATAAATACTTGTCCTCTCTTTGCAAAGATGTATGTTTTTGAACTCTTTTGATAAAACTTCTCCCTTTGTATCACTCACATTCTTTTCATTTGAGTCCCCTCCTATCACTATAGTAGCTGGAGGTGCAGGGACTCATTCCTGAAATGAAGGTGCTATTTGTCATCTCTGATATCTTTCAACTTTTCCATATAAATTATTAATATCTTGTGACCTCCACCCTCTAATATTGAAGTAATCGGGGTTTTATCCTGTCACCAGGGTACTATTGAGCTGTCTTCCCTGAGCCCAGTTTCCAGTGGATCAGATATGCATATTTAAACCATGTAGTACCTATGTGTCAACTAGGGTAAAGGTAAAGGCACAAAATACTATCACAGATTGTCACCAAATGGCTGTTTAAGAGATAATGAAACAAGGACATCTCTTTGTGTCAGGGAGAACAAAAAAAAAGTTAATATTAAAATATTAAACAGAGCAGAAGAGCTTCTCAGTTCTGTTTGCAACTACCCTTAATAGAAACATTAAAAATAAAAGAGGAAGCAAGCACAAGAGGGATGGTGACTGGGGACATTAAATGGACACATAAGGGGATGTAAAGATGTAGAAGGACAGAGAGAGGCTGGAGTTGGAAATGCATAAACAGAGAATGTGTACAAATGAAGGAGTAATATATGTGTTTCCTCAGCAGGATAAGAACTAGGCTAGACAAGTCATACCCCTGCTTATATGGAGTATTTGAAGTCTCTGACTGTCTTGTAACACTCATGCCATTAAACAGTAGTACTCTGAGTCTAGAGCAGAACTAAATTAACTACTGTTTTAATCATAATATATTGTGATTATTATGGCGATTGGACAGTCCTGCTTCATCAGATGCTAAGCCTCATAGGATATAATCAATGTAGCATTACTAGGTTATCAATATCTAGTGATTTGGAAAAGTATAAAAGGGGTTTGCTGGCAAAGATACATCAAATTTCAAGCTATCTTTGGTTACAGAAAAAACCTTTTGCCACATCCTACTCCTCAGTTACATGCTCCCAATGTAGGCTGATGCTTCATGTCTGATGCCTTTTCTCAGAATTCTTTCCTCTGCTCAGAACACTATCTCCTGTTTTTCTCCCCAACTACCTCTATTCCCCTGTGTGCCAGATATCTGCTAGGAATTGCATCACATTTAGCCCACCTCCAAGTTCTCCATCAGCCTCACTTAGTTCTACTATCACCATCACCCCAGGTGAAATGAGCCACACGGACCCCAACAGTCTTCTTTTATGGGACCTACAAATAATGTACTTTTTTTTTATCAATGGATATGGCTTTTTTCACCAGATAATGAGCATCTTGGCAGGAGAAGACTGGGTCTAGCAGAAAGCTGCGTTCCTAGAAAGTGTCCATTAAATGTTTGTTAAATGATGTTATGAAAATCAGCCTAGTAATAAATCCCTGGAGCCAGTTAAAAGAGTTGGTTGCCTGATAGGATACCAAGAAAGACTTCAGTAGATATAAGTTGGCTAGAAAGAAGATGAGATTTCACTTATTAAATTAAGTATATAGATTGCTCTTTTATGTTTGGATTATTTGTTTGCTGTGGGTTTCAAAGTCTACCTTCCAATTTGGAGACTAGATACCTTATTATTTATATTTTTGCCTAAACTTAATCTTGAGGTTAACTTATTTCTGTAAAATTCCTTTATTCATTATAAATCTCTTTTATAAACACAAAGAAGACATTAAAAGTTGTGTGGCCTCCAGCAAAATCACTTAAATTCTCTGGGTCTCAGTTCTAGACAAAAATCCTGAAGTTATTTCTGGTCCTAATATTAGATTCAAATTATAAAGATAAAAATAAAGTTAGAAAGAGATAGAAAATTATAGATTGAGGTAGAACAATGAAATTAATAAATATAGTGCTATAATGATAGTGTCATCATTAGATATGTATACAGAAAGATGAGAAGATAAATTTGCATAATATTACAGGTGATATTAATATTAAAATATATTATTCTTCATACTATACATAAAAATTAACTCAAAATACTCTAAAAATTAACTCAAAAAAAGCTAAAACTATAAAACTATCAGTAGAAAACATAGAAGTAAATTAATCAACAGTTTCTTATATACAACACCAAAAGCAGAAGCAACAAAAGAAAAATAGTCAAATTGGGCTTTATAAAA